GTGGTGGTGCCTCGATCTGGGAGTGTGAGTGTGTGTACGGCGTTCATTTCTGTGTGTGTCCATGTTGGGTGAATGTGTGAATATTTGTTTATGTGTGCATGAGGGTGGGAAGGTATGCTTGTGTATGTGTGCACCTGTTTGCGCATGTGTCAGGTTGGGTCTACCTCCTGTATCACCAGTTCATCACTGTCCATCTCTATTTCTTCACCTTCTTGTATTGAGTTAACCTCAATTCTTCCATCCCTTACAACTTCACTTCAAAACAGATGTGCTGTTTAAGGGCACTATTACAATCAGTGAGGCTGTATAACTTAAACTTACAATTGAAAATACTCAAGTACATCCATCACTTCAACATGCAAACTTGGCTTCCTAATTGATGAACAACTTACCTTTAAAACACACACATAAATAAAAATTTCTTTTTTCTCCCTCCGTAATATTGCTAGACTCAGGTCATTTCTGTTGGTACCTGATACTGAACGATTACTCCACACCTTCATAACAATTACACTGGACTACTGTAATGCCCTTTTCCCAGTCTTCCATGCAAATCCATAAACAAATTACAGTATGTTCAAAATCGTGCTGGCTATTTTATTATTATTATTTTTTCTTTTACCAAAGGTCTCATTTTATTTGTACATTTTACTGCTCCTTAAGACCCATCTGTTCCATGATTCCTTTACTAACCAGATTGTTCTTTGCTTTAATGTTTTACTTCCTGGCCCTTGTAGTCTTATTTGGTTCTTAATTTGTAAATAGTTATGTGTAGCTTGTCACGCCCCCTCTCGAGTTTTCTGTCACGATATAACTGTTGTGTATCTCCTGCTCCAGTCCTGCTTACAGTTGTACCTGGGCATTCACTGGAAGCTCAGCCTAGCTGCACTTCAACCAACTTGACTCCTTGACAGCAGGAATGTTTGCAGTGTGCTATGTGCCTCGCGTGTGTGTCACTTTGGACAAAGGCAACTGTATATATGTAGGTCTGAATGTGATTTCTGTTTTAACCCATGTCAATGTATATTTTGTTTTGTTTGATTGTCTCTGCATGTTTCTGTTAAGCTGGGTAAACGCCAAGACGAAGGCAAATGATGGATCATCTCCGGTTGGCTCCTGTTGGTTATGAAACATTGCACTGGACCAAACTGGCACAACTAGAGGTGACAGTTGACCTACAGTCCAATCAGAGAACTCTATACTATAGCTTTGATACCAATTTAACATGGTAAATTTGGCCAAAACACAACCAACAGGACCATTTGTGTCCAACTGTGCCACACACAGGCAATCACTTACCCTCCACCAGCTCGATGCCTTCCGATGGCTGAAAGTCGGCTTGTGTTCCAGACTTTACACCACATCCTAATATGCTGATAACACCACAGAATTATGTGGAGCTCACAGAATAATGAAACATTGTGGAAATGCCATTCATTCAGTAACAGCCAAAGTACAAGTGTCTGAATGTATGAGTATGTGTGTGTGCATGAGTATGTGTGTGTGTATGAGTACGTGTGTGTGTATGAGTACGTGTGTGTGCATGAGTACGTGTGCGTGCATGAGTACGTGTGTGTGCATGTGTGTTTGTATGGGTGCATTTCAATTAACATTGACTTTTCATGACCGTAGTTCAATGTTTATCTCTGTTGCAGTTCCTACTCATCATTCTGGAAAACAGCTCACAAAATTATACGAGTTAAAAATGGGTAGAAACTGATAAGACAATATCAGATATCAAATTTTATAATCAGCACCAGAGTATCATTAAACATACAATGTCTAACATCATCATTGAAGAAGTCATGGGCATTTTTGGCGGGGGATATCTTTAAATTAATGGGAGGTGCATTATTGGTGATCTTTGGCGCCATCTTTTGACCTGTTACAGTACAACATTTTAAAACCCTGAACTAGACACGCAGTAACTCTGGACCTTAGTACAGGCACCAGAAGTCGTACATAGTAGTGTAGTATCTAAGTCTGCCCAGGACCTTATTAAATAACTAGCCCAGTGTCCATTTTTCCATTATAGACGTAAAATTAGCCATCTCAAACGTGCACGTTATGTCTCACTCCAGCCAGTCCTGCTTGTATGGCGCTTTGCACAAAGGGTGCACTTAAGTTTAATAAGTGATATTTGGAAATATCTCATGTAATTTAAGAACCAAACTCTTCCTCTTTTATATATCAGGCAATAGAAATTGTGAATGAAGCGACTGAATCTCCTTCTAGTTTCCGCGTTTTCACCGCCACCTCCCATTACCTTCTCAGTGATTCTCCAAGGCGTTTCTGCTTTTCTGCTTATTCAATTGAAAAATAATCTCAAACGTACTCAGACGACTTTCTGAAAAGTATCATCCTTTGCTGTCTGGAAGGGTGAGTCTCATTTCCCAGATAGCATCATGTTATTGTTTCAACGTTGAATTATAGTTAAATGCGTTGAATTATGGTCAGTGTTAAATTATCAACGTTGAAACTGAATAGATTTTTGGTCAGATTTTCAATATTGATTGTTGGCAAAACCTTGATTGATAAAGTGAAAGACTGAAAATCAGCGTTATTTCAACCTTCTTGCCTGATATGGAATCAATGTCATTTCAACGTATGTGTGCTATCTGGGTTAATTAGCTCTGTGCCACGGTTTTATATTCACTTTACACGATTCCGTTATTTCCCCGTTCGATTTATACACCACATGGAGATATATTTAAGATTTGTTATGTAGGCCTAGCATTATTTCACTTCATTTAACAATAATACATCCTATTAATAAATTAGATTGTGCATGTAGACAATTCACTGTATTTTTCAGATATTCACTTGTAATATGTCGTGCACTAATTCAAAACCCAAAAACACATGGTAAAAAATGAATATTAAAAGGTATCGGGGAATGATTTGACTTCACACTTGAACATACCAGCGTGTTGAATTAAAAATGGTCCTTAAGCGAATTATTCGTGGTTTCGCAACAACATCTTTACATATATATTTAGCGTGCACTGCATTGTACGTGTTTGTGGCTTTTTGCAGGAGGGTTTTTTGTAAATTAAACATCTATGCAGATTGTTTAACGCAGAGGAGTTTCTAGCTATTGAAAAGATCCAGGGCTAAGTCAAGTTTACCTGGGGCTTGAATTTTGGTGTATTTTGACTCGCTATGAATTGAAGTGTAGGCACACTGGGTTTACAACAACACTGTGAAAACCATAAATATAGCAGAGTAAAAAATACAGTTAGCCATTTAACAATCTTGAGTTCAGTTATTCAAAATACACTGTATTTCCGTTTAGGCAGTTATACAGGAAACGATCTACTGCCTTTTATAGGGTTTCTGTATTTGGGGAGATGAAAAAGAGGACACTGTCTCGCGTATATATTGTAATGAACCTAGAATAGCATCAGAGACTGTAATTAAGGGAAGAATAGATCACCACAAGACGTCAACTACAATTACAAAAATAATTTTATTCAATACAACTCATGCAGCGACCCCTCGGGTTGGGTATGGGTTCACAAAGGGTTCTGCCCCGCTATCTCCCCGTAGCAAACCAACCCTTCCAAGCGCGTATTGACACGTTACCACACAGTAAATCTCGCACCACACAACATCCCTATTAGGGCACGGCACACCAATAGTACTGCAATGGACATTAAACCCCACACTTCTGGCACAGGCAAGCGTTACATGAACAGTACCTCACTCCTCTAGTCCAGCCCCGACCCCTAGCGGGCTACGCTGCTTATTTAAAATACACTAAACACACATAAACTAAGGGCAAGATTAAAACGTAGCGTCCTCCCGAGGTTCAAGACCCTCCCACGGGGAAGGAACGTTCGCACGGGTCAACACCACACGGAAAGGGAATTCCACCGCCACTATGAGGATGCCGCTGCTCCCGTCTACCAAACACCCCAAACTAGATAGCAAGCAGCAGTCATGCACTCCTAACCTCCCCCGCCCCGTCCTAACTGTCCTCGCCCTACCACACCGGAACCTGTCCCTGCAGCCCGCTATATCTGGCTTCACCGCCGGCAGCCCTAAATGGCATACGAGCGGCACCCCACTCCCGGACCCCACGAGTGCTGAGCGTAACAGGATATTTCCCGTCACACGCGGCTCTCACTTCCTACCTCCCTTGCAGTCTCCAGTCTCCCTCTTTTAACCCCTAACAGCCCAGGTGTAGCCACTTGATTAACTACTACCTTCAACACAAATACCTCTCCCCCCAACACCCACAAATCACTTCATTACTATATATATATATATAGATATATATTAGGGCTTAAAAATAACGGGTTAACGCGGATTAATCCATCATCGTGATTAATCTTATTAAAAAAATTTAACGCAATTAACCCATCTGCAGTGCAGAATGACTCAAAATCCCTGAAATGTCTCTGTCAACCCATTTTGGGCAGTTTTGGTGCGTTCCATATGTAAAGCACCACGCGTAATGTGTTATCAACTGATATTGCTAACAATGGCAATTAACCGGGCTAGAATTGGATTTTATGATTAGTCGGATTATTTGTCGGATTTACGAGAAATTTGTCCGGCTACGCAAAAAATCTTGCTTTTTGATAAGGGGCCATGGTATTGCACTTCTGTGGCAGATGTAATGCATCCGACTTGTGTTCAAGATGTTCATTAAACATGTTAAGTGCATATATATTTCCTTTTTTCTTGAGTCTGTTTGCTCATGCAAAATGAAATGCGATTAATATAGATTAAAAATGAATGATATTCAATCGTGATTAATCTAAATTAATCCACAGCAACCCTGTGATTAATCTGATTAAAAATTTTAATCGTTTGACAGCACTAATATATATATTATGGATGCACAAGATATTTCGCAATAAAAACGAAGCAAACTACGATGATGGGAGTAATTACGCTACACTGCTGCGCGGCGGGAGTAGCGGTCAGAAGTCGTACTAGGCGGAATTGGCGCTCAGAACAAACTTTGAAGTTGTGGACAGGAAACGGGAGCCCAACGAACACAATTTGGATTTACAGTTCTCTTCGTTCGTATGTCTGAAAGTTCCTAAGTTGAAAGTTTGTAAGTAGAGGAGTGCTTGTATATATAGACACAAACACACTACCGTGGAAAAGTTTGGGGTCACTTAGATTTTTGTTTGTCCATTAAAATAACATCAGATTGATCAGAAATACAGATGCGAATTGCAAAGGTCTTGAAAAAGAAGTGCCAACACTGCAAATATTGACTCTTTGCTTAAAATTTAATGTGATTGTCAATAAAAGCCTTTGACACTTATGAAATGCTTGTAATTACACTTCAGTATACCATAGAAACATCTGACAATAAGATCTCAATGTATACAGTGAAGAGACAACTCAGAGATGCTGGCCTTCTAGGCAAAATTGCAAAGAGAAAGCTGTATCTTAGAACCACCAACATGAAGAAAAGACTGAGATGGGCAAATGTACACAGATACTGGACAGAGGAAGATTGGGAAAAGTGCTATGGACAGACAAATCTGGATAGACAAAGTTTGAGGTGTTCAGATCAAAATGAAGAACGTTTGTGAGATGCAGATCAAATGAAAAGACACTGGAGGAGTGCTTCATGACATCTGTCAAGCATGGTGGAGGCAATGTGATGGTCTGGAGCTGCTTTGGTGATGGTGAAGTGGGAGATTTGTACAGGGTAAAAGGGATCTTGAAGAATGAAAACAAGCCAATCCAACTTGTGGGAGATGCTTCAGGAAGCAAGGGGTGAAATCTAATCAGATTACCTCAACAAACTGACATCTATAATGCCCAAGGTCTACAGGCTGTAACTGCTGCAAATGGAGGACTTTGTGATGAGAGCAAAGTTTGAGGAACACAATTATTATTTTAATATTAAAAATTATTATTTCTAACTTTGTCAGTGACTACTTCCTATTTATTTAGCTATATTTCCTATTCAAACTTGTTTCATGTATGTTTTCATGGAAAACAAGGAAAATTCTGTGACCCCAAACTTTTGAACGGTAGTGTTTGTGTGTGCGTGTGTGTGTGTGCGAGCGTTAATATCCCATAACGTGATATCCATTTATTTCCCTTATGGGGACCGGTTTCCTGGTTCCCATAAGGGAAAACTCTATTGTATAAAAATCGGTGACTGCTATGAAAAAACTAAAAATGCAAAAACTCTTGTATTTTGCTTGGTTACTTATGGTTATGGTTAGGGCTGGGTAGGGGTTCAGGTTGTCATAGTTAGCGTTACATGTTACTTTTTCCATACTTTCTTGGTCTGTGCAGTGGTCAGCTACCTGCCTACCTCATTCTCTTGTAGGTTTTCTCCCCCAAATCTGTAGCCTGAGATCCATCACCCACATCTTCTGCATGTGCAATATCAGCCACCTACTTCTTTTCATACTCTGGGCTAAATATTTCATTCTGCTGCATAAAATAGTAGGAGGGAAGCGAGAGAACAGGTCAGGCAGTTCCAGAAGTAGTTGTGGTTAAGAGGGTTGCTCAAGGGCCCAATGCTGACATCAATCACTGACATTAAATCAGCCACAGGATTTGAACCAGCAACCTTCCAATAAGTAGCACAGAGCTACACACTGCCTGGGACACCTTACTTTACCTGGGGTGACACTAGGAAGATTCTAGGTGTTAAGTTTTATAGTAAAGACAGAGAGCGGCATGCGGTGCATTTGAATAACGTTTCATTTACTGTGGAGGACTAAATTCATCTTTGACAGTGGGAAGCACTGGATGAAGGATTTGTCATATTGGAAACATGCACCCAGATTCGGCGTCAAAGATCACAGCCACAGGTTAAATTCATATTCCAGTTTACAATGGTAATATGGGTACATTTAATTGCTTGAAATTGAGAAATAGTTCTTAGAAATTGTTTTTTTCTTGCAGGAGAGAAAATGGCTTATGAGAAGAAAATATTCTCTGGAGAAGAATTAAACGGTTTGTGGGACTATGATAACTACAGCTACCAGATCTTTTATAATAATATCAGTGACCAATGCTGTCTTGGCCCATTGTGCGGCGCAGAGAATATGATGCGTTTTTACTCTGTGTTCCTCCCGGTGATTTACACACTGACTCTGGTCGTGGGTCTGGTGGGGAATGGCTTAGTTCTGGCCAATCTCCGCCGGATGCAAGGCACCTGGAGCATCACCAACATCTTCATGCTGCACCGGTCTGCGGCTGACCTTCTCCTGCTCATCACACTGCCTTTCTGGGCTGCTGAAGCTGTCCAGGGCTGGACCCTTGGAACATTTCTCTGCAAGCTGATGGGAGCCATTTTGAAGGTAGTAGCTGGTCCTCCCACACAGGTTGAGTCCGTAATCAGGTCTTTTCTATCATTCTGGTCTTCTGCTCTCTTGCTCTCTAACCTCCCTCATGATCAGTGTTTCTGCTCATCTTTTTTTTCCCAGATCAGCTTCTTCTGTGGCATCTTCCTGCTTGCCTGCATCAGTTTGGATTGCTACCTGTCCATCGTCCACGCCGTGCAGATGTACCCATGTCTAAAGCCCTGGCAGGTGCAGACCAGCTGCCTATTCATCTGGTTCTTCTGCCTCATCCTCTCCATCCCTGAGTGGGTCTTTCTAGAGAGGCAGTATGACGAAAGATCAGAAATGAATAAGTGTGCCTACAACTACAATCAGTATTCCACCAATGACAGCTATTGGCACTTGGCTTGCCGCCTGCTGTACCACATTGTGGGCTTCCTCATCCCCTCTGTGGTCATGATCTTCTGCTACTCCTGCATCCGGCTGCGGCTTCACCGCGGCTCCCAGGATATCCAGAGACAGAGAACCATGCGCATGATCCTGGTGCTAATGATGGCCTTTATCATCTGCTGGGTGCCTTACAATGTAACCCTCATAGTAGATACCCTACACACCAGCAATATAATACATATGACTTGCAAGAGCGCCACAGCCTTAGACGTATCCATGACGGTCACGACCATGCTGGGTTACGTGCACTGCTGCCTGAACCCCATACTCTATGTTATTTTCGGCGTCAAGCTCCAAGAATAACTCCTAGAGATGTTGAAGGACCTGGGCTGCAGGCTGCATGGGCAAAATCACATGCCCTCATGGAAGAGCTCTGCGTGGTCTGAGTCCGGAGACACATCTTACACCTCTGGCTTCTGAGAGATGCCTCTTACATCACCAGCTCCTTTGTTTCAATTGGTTGCATGCCTCTTACATCATCAGCTTATTTTCTTTTTTAATTGGTCATGAAAATGGGACACTGGACCCTGTATTGGACAAATGGTAGCAATAGAATAGGATAAATGTTGTTCTTGTTTTATTTTTTATATTTGTAAAAAAAAGCAATTTTAAACAAATAAATAAACAAATAACCAAAGGCAACCCCGAAAAGGTGTGACCTGCTACATATACATACATACATACATACACACGCACACACATGTTTGTGTGTGTGTCTGTGTATGTATATATATTATGACCACCCCCATGTGAAGCGGATAATGTTAACTATCTCATAAACACAGTGCATGTCTAGGTGGGAGATACACTCACCTAAAGGATTATTAGGAAAACCTGTTCAATTTCTCATTAATGCAATTATCTAATCAACCAATCACATGGCAGTTGCTTCAATGCATTTAGGGG